ATGATAAATTCGGAATATATATTCCTCACTTTCCTTAATTTTGAACCCCTTGACGCTGATGGTGTTTTTTCTGACCCTTTTCATATTTTTTAATTATAAATTAGCAGACTAATTATTAATAAAAGAAGTACTTTAGACGGTCGTTATCAGAATTATATTTATACTAGAATATAAAATCCGAAAAAGGAAATTTGAAATAGATTTTTTTTTATTCATATTCAAACATTAATAAACAATTGATTTTGCATATTAATAAAATTTCAATGATGAATTACTGTTTCTCTCAGATATAAATAACTTCAAATAAGTTCAAATTTGAAAAATTATTGTTTGGAAGTGAGTCGTATGGTGAAGAATTTACTTTTAAGGTTGAAAAATTCTCCGGTGTTTCATGCTATATTTCACAACCATAAATTTTAAAAATGCTAAATGTACTATTTTTCATTTATTTTTACTTAAATCAATGCAAATTAATTTGAAAAGTATGAAAANGACCACTTGGATCAGTCTGCGTAGGGACCGAGGATGTGCGGTATTGGTCCTCGTTAAACTGTTCCACCGTAAAGTGCTCGACTTCGCGTGCAGGTTGTCGGGCTACCGAAGCGGGGGTGCGATCCTCTCTGCAGAGGATCAAAATTGTGATGGCATGTCTTCCGATCATCCTCAGAGATATTTCCCAGACCGTCGCCAATAGCCCATTATACAGCTCTAGTGCGATGTGAATGAACTACAACTACAACATATTTTTTCTCTCTCGGCTGTGGTATCTTTCTCATCTTTATTTTGCCCTTTTTCGTTAGCAACTTTACATTTCTTATTTCAAATTACTTTTGTTTTTGTTCATTCTCGTCTAGCAAGTTTTGAAAATGGGTGCACGTTTTTTAGTGCTTGAAGCATGTCGACTGTTATTTCCGATTTGCATGCGTTATAGCTTGTTCAGCTACAGCGCGAAAGGTTTCTCAAACTATTTTAGTAATATGGCGTGTTATGCTTACTTTTAATTTCGTTCCTGAGAAAAGATTAGAATATGGAGAACGTGATGGCCAGGTAGTAAAAAATCTGCTCGAAATTGCTTGAAATTAAAAGTTTGAGCAGGAAACAATGCTCTTTCACTGGTCAGGTAATGCGAATGAAGACAGTAGCCTTGAAGCAGTCTTACTCTTGAAAAGTTGAAATAAATTTCTAACCTTGCAAATCATTTATTACACTTCAGTGAAGCTGGTAGCATTGCCAAGGAACATGATAACAATTTTATTTGTGATTTCTGTTTTTAAATCTGATTAATTAACTTAATTGATGATAAATTCGGAATATATATTCCTCACTTTCCTGGGCTCGTCGCTTTTATTGATTTTTGCTTTTATTGTCGCTTTTATTGTCGCTTTTTCCAGGGATCGTCGCTTGGACCCATTTTATGGTTGATCTTGGTTAATGACGTTTTTAATTTAGTTCGTAATATAAATTTAAGCCAATTTATTGATTTTAACCATGATGATTTCAATATCATTGCATTTGCAGATGATATTTTACTGTTGGTAAGTGGTCCAATTTTCTATAAATTTGATAAACTGGTGACTCATATTCTATCCCACATGTCAGACTGGGCCGAGAACAACAAATTAAATTTTTCGAAAGAAAAAACTCAACTTATTACATTTCCAAAAAATGAAAAAAAGATGGGAAGACTCCCCTGTATTAAATTTAGACCGGATGATACGAACAATATCAAAAATGTAAATACGATGAGATACTTAGGGGTGACCCTCGATCCAGGTCTGACATGGTTTCCACACTTAAACGATATTAGAGACGGAATTACAGGTTTTAATCAGGGAATTAGGAGAGTCGCCAGAGTTACATGGGGTCTTAGACCACAATTGTTGAAACGCATATATCTCCAGGCAAGTGAAAGAATTATACTTTACGCCGCCAGTGTCTGGTACAGAAATACTAGGAGAATTAACGAAAAATTAAACAGTATCCAGCGAATACCACTCTTAACTATCACGAAGGCCTATGCTACAACGAGCACAGATGCAATCCAGATACTGGCGGGTGTTATGCCAATTGGTCTGAAAATCGTGGAGGACATCTTTTGCAAAAGGGTGAGGTGGGGCTGGAGACTCGAGGACATAAATAATACTCTACCAATTGATTTTTATCATAACATAGATTTCGAGAAACCAGCCCTAGGGCATCCTTCAGATTACATTGCTTTGCCCTGGGGATATAGCAGCCCTAAAGATCAGGGAGTGGAGATCTGCACTGATGGCTCTCGGATGGAGGCAGATTGTCCGAATAAATTCATGACTTCACACGCAATGATAGTCAAGAGCAACGGTATCACGATTTTCAAAGCCTCCACCAGAGTCACTGATAACACCAACATATTTATTGCAGAGCTTTTGGCAATCAAGTCTGCCCTGATATGGCTACGTCAACATGATATTACACATGCAACGATTTTTTCAGACTCACTATCATCCCTCCAGGCCCTGGCTGACCCAGAACCCAGTTCCAAACTCATAGAAGAGATCAAAAAAATTTGGAATAAGAACACTATTTTGAACTGGGTAAAAGCACATGTGGGGATCCAGGGCAATGAGGAGGCAGACAGGGCAGCAAAGGAAGCCATTGGTTCTGACAGTGTGGATCTCCAGGTTCTGAAGACCCCCAAACAAGCTAAAACCGAAATCAAACAATATTTAATGGCAAGGTGGAAAACCAATTGGGAAAATTCTGAGAAAGGCAGGCATACATTTAAATTCATTAAGACCCCGTCATCTACAAGGTTGCAGACTAATTTCTATTTTAACCAATTTCTGACGGGGCATGGAGTGTTCGGAGTACACCAAAACAAATATTTTAATAAATCAGAGAATATTTGCTCAAACTGTAACCAAAGACAAACCATAGAGCATCTTTTATACAATTGTGATCGGTACCGGACAATCCGAAAAAATTATTTCTTCCAAAAAACAGACCAGCAAATTTTTGCAGACAAGGTCTGTAGAGAAATTATCAAGATTATCATTAAAACTACTCTTGAGGAACAAATGGAATTAATAAACGAAATTGACAATAACTAAAATTTTAACCTGCTTAATCTAACCACCTTGCCAAAACTTTTTTTTTGGACCACATTGCCATTTTAGTGTTTTAACTTAACTTTGCATTTTAGACATGCTTTAGGTTTGTTCACAACCATTGGATTTTAATACATTTGGTATTTTACATTGCGATAGTATTTTATACGTGGTTTTTAGATTGTTATACACCCCCTTTTAGCTCTTACCTTTTAGTATCTATTGGTATTTTATCCTCTGTTTTTTTGTACTTTAATTGAATTTACTGTGCTTTACTTGTTGTTCTTCATTTTAACTACCTGTTACTACTTCATCCTCACTACTTTGGTTCCACCAGCATGATTCAAGCTGGCTTGATTGGCTGGATCCTTTCAATGCCCTATTGACAAGTGTATACATCTGTGATTTTGTCTCAGTTTTAACCTTTCAATTTTAGCACTATATTCATTTATGTCATTTTATCCTTTCACCTTTTGGTGGTTTTATGAGTTGTATTTACGGCTGTTTTTGGTGCAATTGTTAGATTTTTTGTCTTGTATTGAGGGGTCCACCAGCTCACTCAGTTTTTACTGGTTGTCTCAGGGTTCATAATTTTTGTATTTGATGTATATATAATTTTTATATTTTATTTATATAATGGTCTGTTGACCTTTTTAATGATCCATTGTACTTGACGTATGGGCCTATTGGCCTAGGCCGCTGTGTAATTTTCAAATTCCTCACTTTCCTTAATTTTGAACCCCTTGACGCTGATGATGTTTTTTCTGACCCTTTCCATATTTTTTAATTATAAATTAGCAGACTAATTATTAATAAAAGAAGTATTTTTGACGGTCGTTATCAGAATTATATTAATACTAGAATATAAAGTTCAAAAAAGGAAATTTGAAATGTATTTTTTTCATTCATATTCAAACATTTATAAATAATTGATTTTGTATATTAATAAAATTTCAATGATGAATTACTGTTTCTCGCAGATATAAATAACTTCAAATAAGTTCAAATTTTAAAAATTATTGTTTGGAAGTGAGTCGTATGTTGAAGAACTTACTTTTAAGGTTGAAAAATTCTCCGGTGTTTCATGCTATATTTCACAACCATAAATTTTAAAAATGCTAAATGTACTATTTTTCATTTATTTTTACTTAAATCAATGCAAATTAATTTGAAAAGTATGAAAAATATGCTTAATAAAAATTCTGCGTCAAAGGCTTTAGCCTTTTAGAATTTCTCAGTGCATAAAAGTCATAATATTAATTTGCTACGATAAATATATCAATAAGAAATAAGTATTTTTTTCATTGATTCTATTTGTTTACTCTGTTTGATCTAACCAGATTGGATAAAATAAGATTTAGCATACTTCTTAAAACTAATTAATTTACTCTCTAAAATATAGTTTTTTTAATATAAAATAATCTTTATTTTTGGAATTAAAGGGCTATTTTATCATATAAAAATATTTACAGTTATATTCTCGAAGTTTCTTAGAAAAAGGAAAGATTTGAACATGAGTTTGGTCAACTTTCTCCTAAATAATTATCGTAACTTTTGTGCTATTTGAGATTTAATTTTTTTTTTTTGAAATGACAAAGCTCATCCTTTTATTTACGTAAATAATTCTGTTAAAAGTTTGCTAAATTTGATAGCCATAATTTGCCTGAAAAATATTCGGGTACCTAGAGTAAATAACTTTATTCAGTTCTGTTTAATCATGTTTAGTACACAAAAATAAAATCTTAGATGTAGCAACCATATCTATCCTCAAGTACTTTTTAAAAAAAGTGCGTAAATACATGAAAAGGGTTCTTGAAAACAATGATTGAGATATTTTTTTATCTATTCATTGTTTGATATAGTAAAATATCAATATTTTTTGCTGAAACCAGTTAAACAAAGTAATCGTCAACACTAATCACAGTTTTGCTGATCGCACTTCAAATTTACGTCATTGTCTTTTAAATTGATTGATTTATATCTTGCATTTATATACCATAGGCTGTTGAGGCTCTTCGTCGATGAAGAGCAGATTCTTCAAAATGAAGTCCTTCGCTTTTATCTTGCTTTGCTCCATATTTGCGGCGTCGACGGCTTATGTTGATTACTCTGGGTAAGTCAAAATACATTACGATATAATGTAAGATTAGGTGTAAATAATAATGAACGAACAAAATATATAATGATACATAATAATGATGATAAGTAATAATGATACATAAAAATAATTAATAAAATAATAATGAAATTAAAAAAATAATAATGAAATTAAAAAAAATAATGATGAACATAATAAGTATTTCGCTTTTATCTTGCTCTTCTCCATTTTTTCGGCGGCTTATGTTGATTACTTTGAGTAAGTCAAAATACATTATTACATATAATGTTAGTTTAGGTGCAAATAATAATGAATATAATGTATAATGATGCATAATAATGATGATAAATAATAATGATACATAAAATGAAGTCTATCACCCTTATGTTGCTCTGTTCTATATTTACAGCGGCCACGGCTTATGTAGATAACTCTAGGTAAATAATATATAATGATATATAATACCAATGATACAAAGTAATGATACAAGGATACAACAAATTAATAATAAATAAAATGATAATTATCTATTCATAAGTTGAAGTCCTTTATGCTTTTTTCTCTGATCTATATTTATGGCTTCGGTGACTTATGTAGATAACTCTAAATTAAAATACATTACATTATAATGTTCGATTAAGAGCTAATAATAAACATAATATATAATGATACATAATAATACGTGTAAATACAGGGTGTCTCAGTTAAGCGTTTCAGAACTTTCAAGAGGGGTAGGGGGCATCCTGACGACTCGAAATCATATAGCAATGTGGGGTCGGNTAAACATAATATATAATGATACATAATAATAAGGATACGTGTAAATATACAAAATAATAAGGAACATAATAAAAATAATATATTCATAAAATGAAGTCTTGCGCGCTAATCTTGCTCTGCTATATATTTTCGGAGTTGATGGCTTATGTAGATTACTTTGATTAAATCAAAATACACTACAATATAATGTCAGTGCTAATAATAATGAACATAATATGTAATGATACATAATAATGGTGATATATGTATAATAACAGTACATAAAAATAATTAACGAAGTAATAAGGAGCATGATAATAATAATAATAAAGTCTTTCATATTTGTTTAATTCTGTTCTGGCTTCCTCGTCTTATGTTAGTTACTCTGGGTAAGCCTAATTAATGAATGAAAATGATACATAATAATAAAATTAATTATAATATATTCTTAAAATCAAGAGTTTGGCATTCTTCATGCTTTATTCCATATTATGTGGCTTTGACGTCTTAAGTAGGTCACTCTGTGGAAGGCAAATAACATTACAATACAGTACTCCATTGATAATAAAATATAAATAAAAATCTTTGATAGTAAAATTAAATTTTAGGAACAATAATTTTTAAGCTTGCAAAAGCAATGGAAATAATTTTATTTTTGTCAGATCTAATTTTGAAAATCCAGAACACGTTACTTCCGTGGAATGTAGAAAGGGTTTTAGGTGGCTATCGAAGTTAAATTACAAAAGCACTACGTCTTACTTAATACACTTTAAGTAAAGGAAAATAAATAAATTATTTCCCTTTTCGTTGAGAATTATCTTAAAAACTATTTTTTCTTTAAAATTTTTCTTTGTAAAATTATTTTCTTGAAAAACAATTTAAAAAAATTGTAATTCAGTATTCTATCCCTTTTAGCTCATGTCTGTTAGTTCGTTGTATCAGAAAATTGTCAAGAATTTTACTGACAAAAAGAGAAACTCTTAAATTTTTAAGTCACTGAAAATCACATAGTTCGTCATAGAGGATTATTAAATATATTAAATCATCTAATAAAAAATAGTACTTATGCAATGACATCTTGAAATTCCAAAAGAATTGCAAATCCATTGCTTGACGTCTTAAAATAAAAATTTGCATGCTTTATTCTTATTTAAAAATGTTTCGGGTTGCAATACATTTTGGAATAAAAATAATAATGTTCTAATACTATATTTGAATGAATGTTTTAAAACAATATTTGTCAAATGAATATTTTTAAACAACATTTTATTTTATAATTGTCATTTTCTCTTCAGAATTTTATTCCAATCACTGTGCTCGCCTGAAGATCATAGATTATCAAAGTTTTTTTTTGTAATCCACATAATTATAGATTTTAAAGTTATATTGTTATTTTACAGTTCATCCAAATCTCTTGTGTCAGCTAAATAAACTTCAGCAATGAAATTGAGCTGATATTCTTCATATTTTTTTTATGAGATTTTTTTTAAAATAATGAATCACAAAATTTTAACGCATGAATGTTTTCATTTCAGACACAAAGTTTTAACAGTTACACCAAAATCAGAGAAACACTTGGAATTATTGCACCAGTTTCGAGAACAACATTCAGTAAGTATACCAGTTTAAAGTACAGTAAGTATCTAAGTTCTTCAGTAAGTATACCAGTTAAGTTTTTTTTCTTGAGTAAACATTCCACGTTTTCCACAATCTTTGTCGAAGCCTACGGTTTTGCTCTTCAAACTAAAAATCTCAATTTCATTCGATAACCATCTTGTCAAGAAATTACATGATTTTTATCAAAACTTATATTTTAATATACTCTGTCCAGCTAGAACTGATAGTTGAATTAAACATAAAGATTTGCTACGTAACACCAACTTAGTTACTTTAGCAACAAAATTACTTGGGCTCTCATTGGACCAATATTCACAAATCTTGACCCAGTAAGGGTTCAAAGGGCCCATTATGTTCCGATATTGGCCCAATATAGAATTGTCCAATTCACCTGATATTTTATAGTCACTTTACAACCAATATCGGCCATGTATACAATTGTAGAATTATTGAAAGCCACTCTGGGAAAAATATAGAGATAGATAGGCATCCAAATATTGATCCCTCTGTGCATGCTCTAATAAGACCCATATCGCGCCAAGTTTGAGCCCAACTGAGGCCAAGGTAAAATTATTCCTAGGGTACATTTACCGGTTTCTCGAAGAGTTGGCGGTTCCTTTCTTACTTAATATTGATGAGATTAGCTTTGTTTGTCATAACTTTGGCACCAACTAGCCAAAGGTAATGCCAAGAGTCTGGTGGTTTGTTTTCTTTCGCCATCAGTTCTCTTAGAACAGAGTGTAGTGTACGTTAACCACCTTTTATTTTTACTGAAAAATGTCGTTTCAAGAATAACATTAAACATTTACAGCAAACTATATAGAAAAAATAATCTACATTAACGCTGATAAAGGATCATGGTAACTTTCTTTTTATTCACTATGATGTGATGAGTGGTTCTTCAACTTTTTATTGCCCAATTTTAAAGTCATTTGCACTGTATGACGTAAAGGGGTCCCTTTGTTAGTATACTTGTTTATTAAACAGGCATCCGCACAATTAAGTGCCAAGAAAATACAAACAATACATTTTGCAGTTTTTCATCTACAGTTTTTTCACATATATTTTTTAAGCGCTAAATATACGCCAGACATCACGCGGATTAAGCTATAACTCTTCAATGTATCACGGGTATGTTTTCAGTCAGTAGTGGCCCCTGTTACTAAAATTCGTAACTAATTTCTAAATTTGATGAGTGTAATTTATCTTGTTTCTTAGACAGAACATTCTTTTGTTTTTCTTTAATTGATTTTTTAAATTTTCAATCATTCTTAAGGCACACGTTATCTAATTAATACATCCTATGTTCATATTTTATTAAATACCATCACGTGAGTATATAACGTAGAATATTATTTATGGCAATCACTATTTCAATCAATGAAAAAGATTTCATTGATTCTATGCAAATTGATTATAATATTTTCCAACTTAAAAACCAACAAGAGTTTTTCAATGGCAGGAGAGTAAACAAAGTAAAATAGTGTATTGTAATTGCAAATGCCTCTGTAATCAATTTTACGAAAAGTTTTTCTCATATCATTAAATTTTGAGGAAAAAGTAATTACGTGCAAAAAATAAACGATATTTATGAGTTACACTTGGGGTTCCTTGCGTGAAAATAATTTTTTTGCTGATCTTATAACTTTCATAATTTTTTTTATTTATAAATTTTTCTTTACTTGTCATTGTTTGAAAACAATGCTTTAAGTTAAATTGATTTGAAAGCAACTAAGAGAATATTTCTTTCAAGTTGTAGTTTTTTTTAAGTTTTTTCTAGAAAAATAAAAAATTAGTTGCTTGTTTATTAGACAATTGTTGTTGATTTTTAGGTGGACTTATGGAACGAACCAAGTTTCGTGGATGCACCTGTAATGGTACGCCTGCGACCCGAATTGATTGAGCCAGTAGAAAAAACTTTGAAAGAGCATGGCTTAGAATATGACGTGGCGTTCTCTAATTTGCAAAGGTAATCAAATACCGGATGTTCAAAAATGACAGACGATTTTTAAAAAATTAATTTAGGAAAAGAAAAATGTGATGGACATGTATAATTTGCTGCGGTGTGATGGGAAGTTAGTGCATTTTATCTCAGTAGAACTCTAAAATAGTTAAGGAGTTTGTTAATAGATGGCGCTGTTAACTGAGAAACATTTCGAGGAAACAACGTGCTGCAACCTTAACTTTTAACTGTAATACTAGTTTACTTTCCATTAGGTACAGTTTTAATAATTTACTATAATTATAAGTAAATTAATTTTTAGCACAATGTACTCTCGATATCTCAAAGTTGAAGGGCGCTAAAAAAATGCCGCGATAGAGAGTTTTTGAGATAGCAAGTTCAGAACTAAATATGTTCCAAAAGGTAAAAAAATATATTCTAAAATATCACTCTAAGAAGTTGAGTTATGAAATATGTATAAGAATAACTTATATTAAATATGTATGTAATGATAGTCGACTATCGGTCGTAATACAGTAATGGTAATTTTGTTTTTAAAAGTAAGACGAAAATAGTGCATTAAATAGAAAAGAATTAGTGTACAATAGTTTTACATTGTGATTCTTCAGGAAAAAAATTCAATTTCTTTTTCGAAAAAAATTTGACATAACAAGGTTTTGAGAAGAAGCTCTTGGACATAAGAATTCAAATTAACATTAGATGAATAAGTATATAATGCCAATAAGAAAAATATTTTTTTGACATAATAAGGTTTTCGAGATGTCGAGATTATACTGTAATTAAGTTGTTTATGACAAAAATCTGCATGCTATTAATAATAAAGGAATTTTGGTCGACATATACACGGCATTGGACTAAGTAAGTAAAAGTGCTACTTTTATAGTGGTCAATGAAGGGTTCAGTTAAAATTGATAGGTTCTCCTAAAAATATTCTAGTGGGACTGCTCATTCATAAAGAAAACATTGTTTTATAATTTGTGTTAGTAGTGCCATCTCTTATCGACATTCGCAATTAATTTTAAAGTATGATGAGAATTAATCTTTTTTCTTAAACAGAATGTAAAAAAACGTATTTATTATTCCTTGCTAATTTTCATTAATTGTTTTTTTCAAGTTATCACTCATTTTCGGCAGATACTATTTCATTAATATGCTCCGATAATGTACTTCATTAATATACTCCGATAGCAATATTTAATACAATATTGCTTTAATTTTGACTATATAAAGTAAAATATTATTTATAGTTAACAGTATTTCAATCAATGGGGAAGACTTAAATTTTTTTTCTTATTGCTGCTTAGGTGTGACTAATTAGCTTAATTTTTTTCATTTATTTTGCAAATAATGCAAAAAGTTAAAAAATTTTACGAAAATTTTTCAGAAGCGTTCAATTGATGTTCCAAATTTGAGTATTTTTTTACTACTAAAGAGAATTTTAAAAAAATGTTGAAATTTACAAAATAGTAATTTCAATTTAAAATTTTTTATTTGCAATAAGAAATAGACCAACAATTTACATGTTTCAATAATCATTACAAGACCTGATCAATATTGGAAAAAGAATTTACACCAATAGTTTGAAAGAAAATCTTTTGGAGTGATGCGATTCAAAATTTTTATACTGTTCAATGCTATATATTTCTGAATTATAGAGGTTTTGCACATTGTCTCACAAAATAAAGATTTTTTAAAATAAAAGTTTATTTTATGAAAATTACTCTATGACATAGCCCAAGTCAAAATTTTTGATGGTTTTCCATTGATGAACCAACATAATCTTGATGGTAACCATCAATAATTCCATCATGAACCATTTTATTTTTTGATGGTAACCAACATAAGTAACCATCTCAATGTGGGAATTTGAACTGATCTATGATGGTCCAACATAAGAATAGTAACTTGTTTTGATGGTTTGTTCATGTTGATCCATCACGAATTTTTCATCATAGTGTCTTAGAAATCAGAAGTTGGATTGATCATGAACAACCATCATCATAATGTAGGAATTCGGATAGATTTATGATGGTTCAGAATTAAAAAGAAAACATTGTTTTGATGGTATATTCTTGAGAACTGACAAGAATTCCCATTAAATCTTTAGGGAAATACGTAGTTGGAACCTTCATGAACCNGAGAGAGCTCAACATTCACCGATGGATTTAAGCAACGCATCAGCACCCTACAATTTTGGGAAATACCACAGATATGAAGCGGTAAGGACCTTTAAATCATTGCCAATTTTATTTTAAATATTCAGCTGTTCATTTAAAATAACTTGAAATACCAGCTATCATAAAAGTACCCCAGCCGAGAAAGTTACCAGAAATTTTTGTACAATAATAATGTTTGATTAAACTGGTATCGATATTAAATCACATTTTCTAACATTTGTAGGCTTATTAGTTTTTTACGTGGTTGTCATGCTGACATAATTTTTTGTTGCGTGGATATAATGTGCAGGATAATAAAAAATAAAAAAAATATTTTCGTAAGAAAAATATTTTTTGACTTAAACACGATTTGTAAAATATTATTTTGCATTGTTTTACATCTCAAAAACTATTTGACTTATTTGAACTATATTGTAAAATACTCTAAGTTCAACGTTGGTTTTGACTGTAGTGCACTGAGAGCAGGCATATGACTGGAACGGTAAAAAAGCTTTAGTTACTGATATCAGACAAATGACTGGAACGGTAAAACAGTTTTGGGGACAGAGAGCAGACATATGACTGGAACGGTGAAACAGCTCTGGTGACTTATTTCAGCCATATGACTGGAACGGTAAAAAAGTTTTGGGGACAGAGAGCAGACATAGTTACAACTCAGTTGTATGCCTACTCGCATCTACCGAAGTGTTGAAGAAAGTATAATTTAGATGATCAGTGGTGAATAAGTAACCAGTTTATCATGATTAATTTATAGAGTGGGTCACAGCATTGCTAATAATGAGTTGTTGCTATGTTTGAAATTGAGCCTGTAAACACATTTGCGGCTTAAAAAAATACATCTTTCAAACTTTATTGAAAAACATGCATAAACTGTTTTTTATACATTATGTATGCAAAAAAGCTTACTAATCAACGCAACATAGCAGAGTCTATGCCTAAAAAATTGTTAAAAAAATGCAACACGAAAATTAAGTACATTAACATTTATATAACGAACTATTAAGCCTTAGTTTTTTTTATAGATATACTAACACGAGTAATTAAGGTTTAATAAAAAACTTTTGTTAATTAAATCTTTGTAAATTCGAATTATTTACCATTTTGTGTTTTTGAAACATTTTAGGTAGTTCAATTGCTGAAAGATTTGAGTTCTAAATATTCGAGAATTGCAACGTTGGAAATGATTGGAAAAAGTTACGAAAATAGACCTCTTTACAACATGAGGGTAAGCAGCATACAAAAATATTTTTTTTCAAACATTCTACAAAAAAAGTAGTGATTTATTTTAGCGTAAAAGCTAAATTGAAATGATTTAAAGAAAGCACCATACTGAAATTTGAAAAAAAAAAATCTATTTTTTCTCCTTTTCTTGACATTAAATAAATTCAAGTACATTGTGAGTACATTAAATTCATTGCAAAGTTTATTGTTCATTGTAAATTAAGTACATAGTAAATAAAACTTAAGTAAGGAATTTTGAATTAATATACATATTAAAAGAGTTAACAGCAACTAACTGTGTTTATCATTTCTACAAAAAAGTATATTTTTTATTTGCCACTCAATTACTCCTTAAATTATCACGTGATTTATTTATGTGGCAAATGGAATTACTGCCAAGCCAACATTAAAAAATAATGGAACCCTAGAGCAGAACGACCCATTGATCAGACTGTCCTTTTTAGAGTATGAAAATAAAAGTTTCTTATTTATTTATTTTATTTTTTTGAAAAAAATGTCGTTTTTGTAAAAGCAAAAAGTTTTTGAAAAGTCAACACTTATTTAAATTTATGAAAGATGGTATCTAATATGGATAATGATTTAATTATCTATAATTGCCAATTTAACGGTAATTTTTTAACATCTGCATTTTGCATTACGTGCGTTATTTTTTCTTTCGCTCTTAATAAATTTAATTGTTAATTATTTTCGAGCATTGATTGTTAAATCAATGCACATGTTTTTGTTTATCATGCATAAAATCACTTAGAAATATGCAAAAAACTTTTGGTAAAACTTCAATGACGTTTTTTTTTTTAAATTGCTTATACTGATTAAAATTTCAGATCAGTTCCGGTGGTAGTTCTTCCAAACCTGCAATTTTAATGGAATGCGGTATTCATGCCAGAGAATGGGCATCAGTAGCTACTGGGGCCTACATGGTCAACAAAGTAAGTTCAATTATTCTCAATTTTCAAAAATGAAATTTTAATTCGAATATTCACTAATTTCAAGCATTATCAAAAAGGTAACTCAATCTATAGTGCTAAAAAGTATTGAAACCACTCTGAAAAATGTTTGATCGAAGGAACAAATCTTCACGTTCTAGACTCAATTTCAATGGTTCGAAAGAGGGAACTCAAATATGCTAATTAATTATTGCAGTCGATACTTTAAACTACGAAATCAAACGCAAAAACGTACTTCCTGTAAATATACTTACTTATTTTTCATGAATTAGGTTTTCTGCATAAAATAGGTGGTCGCGACAATCTAGAAATTGTGACCCTAAGGGTTTAGTCAGAAGTGCGGATGAAAGTTTGAACCCCCAATTGATGTTAATTCTACTTTTCGTGTATTTACCTATATCTCTGGAAGTTTTCAGGCGAATTGAATATTTTTGCACTGAATTATGAAATATGTCCATCCAAAAATGACTGCATGCAAAATAATAGCATTTAGCAAATATATATTACTTTTTACTATTTTATTTAACAACAGTAATTGCATAAATATTTTTTATGTCATTTTGGAAATTGTAATTTTACATAGAAAAACACGGAATGTGAGCGAAATCGGTCAAATAGTTCCTGAGAAATAGCTTTTGTAATCTAAATTTTGAATACTTGAAAAATTACTGCAACCCTGCATTATCTGGGATCATAAAAATGCACAAAAACTTTAAATTATTCGTTGCTTTTCATAATTTTCCTCTAGGTGGAAAAATGTTGCTAAATGGGTAATTCTTAAACTGAGATTAATTACTTCTAAAATATTTAAATAACTTGCCCTTTCTAAAGCCTAGATAAATCTTAACCCCAACGTAGTTCATATAATTCTGCCTAGAGTCTAAGAGGCTTTCCCATTTTAATTAGCGAAAGAGCTGTAAGGAACAGAAACCATTCTAATATTTTGAAGAAAATCATTGTTGAATTCTTCCCATTTTTAAAAACTGAGATATTGATGCACTTATGTTTTTGTTTGTTTTATGCAGATTATCACTTCCTATGGGTCAGATCCAGAAATTACTGCTCTAGTTGACAAATACGAAATCAACATAATTGTTGAAATGAATCCTGATGGTTATGCCTACACATGGGCTCGGGTAAGTTAATCAACCTTGTGAAACAATATGTACAATAAGTAAGTTTTAATCACCTTTATAAAACAATGTGTACAATGAGTAAATTTTAATCTCATAAAACAATATGTACAATAAGTAAGTTTTAATCCCCTTTATAAAACAATGTGCACAATGAGTGAATTTTAATCTCATAAAACAATATGTACAATAAGTAAGTTTTAATCAACCTCAGGAAACTATACATACAATAAGTAAGTTTCGATCAGCTCTTCTTAAAATAAAACGTACAATGAATAAGTTTTAATCAACCTAATAGAACGCTATGAAGTATATGTCTTTGATTATGAATATATGCTTTTAGAAAAATTGAAATTAATTATTTTTTTCTTTATGTTCGAGTTTTCTTTTTATTATGATACGAAACAAAAACATACTTTTTTATTTGTGACAATTACCTGCTGACGTCTGAAGCATGATGTTAGTGATAAAAATATGACGTTCGTGACACGCATTTCTAGTGTTGGTTAACATGACAGAATTTTAGTCGTTTCTAATCTTTTAAATGATTGAAAGGCTTGAGTCATTAGAATGATAAGTCACATTTTGAATTTTTTAAATTTTATTTTAGTGTCGTTTGGATTCAGCGATTTCAATGTATTTATTATGTAGTCAGTTGCGCTGATGTGTGGTTGTTTGGTGGTAATTACAGATATTTTCTAAATACCAAACTTGAAACGATATGAAGGATCAGATTTATTTATAAACCTTATGTTTGGAGAGAAAGTTGCTTATTGCTATATTGGTCCAAGTCCTTCAAAGGTTCGCAAAGATGACCATGCGGAATACTGGTTCTAAAAAGTGATAAAAATTGCTCTTCTAATTGCTCAGCTAATTCAAGCTTATGTACCATTCAAATTTGCCTAGACTGAGCTAAAAAAACATAAATTGTTTCCATACATAATAACTCTCTATTTAATTTTCTTACTAAAATAATCCAAACCATTTGTAAAAATTCGAAATCAGATTTAAAAGAATTTCTCTGTCATTAAATACACATTCAATAGGTTTAAAGAATAATTTGACAAATATAACCTTAAAATTTTTTTATCGTTCTTACTTCACATATCTTGTGCTAAATTACATTCGTTAAAAATTTAATTCAGTTGGATGTATCTTCCTTCATTTTAAAAATGAAACCTTACATGTTTGCGCATGCACATTACGACATGGCCGCTATAAAATATGTGGTATCTATATCTTATCGGTTACATAAATTGTAGACGATTTAAAAGATCAGTTAAAGAAAATAGACATACACGGAGTTAAGGAAGCCGGAATTTATATTCACGACATTTACTTGATCAGTGGAAAAAGCTTTTCAAGAGCTTTTCTACTACAGACTGGAGAAAAAAAAACTTTAAAACAGAGTTTTATAATAACCAACCTTTGAAACCAATGTGCTGCTGTTTATGGACAAAATTAACAAATACCATTATAATTATTTCCATTAGAACATGCAGCAGAAAACTTTGTTCCTAGTCAGCAACGCCATCTGATGGCGAACTTTGCAATGAATTTCGTGAATATGGCTTGAGAAAGTACCCAGGTTCATTCTCGAAACTCAGTAAACCGTACACTCTTCTCTCTACCTGTTTTTCTTTAATTATTGGTGATCGAGTACTTTATATTTAATGAAAAAATGAGCAAAAATGTTTTTTTTTTATTAACAATTTATAAATATAATTTCCTAAATGTATGTTTCTTTGATCTTTATCATTATTTTTTTCAGTAGTTCAGTATTTCTCACGAGAGAAATGTTAACTTTATTTCCCTTCATTTTTGACAGGATCGTATGTGGAGGAAGACTCGATCTAAGAGTCAAAATGATTGGCTCGGTGTTTGCCTAGGAACAGATGCAAACAGAAATTTCGATATTGACTTCGGCGGTAAATATCTTACACTTTGGAAATTCAAAAAGAGTATTTTATTTAACCCTTAATAAGGCTATAAGAACTATACTTTTAAACAAATAAATTTTATTTTAAATTTTATTAATTTTTCTAAAATGTTGTGGGTATGTAGTAGGTGTATAT